TAAATGGCTTACTTTAATGTATGCATATTTTAAAATCCGTTAGGCGTCTTCACAAAATTATATTTGGTTCATTTGGATTCACGTTATAAAAAAACGAAAATTGAATAGATATACCAATGGAAACAAAATTGTTTAGTTTTAATTTTCAGTAAACTATTTTTTCTATTTCTGAAATTAAACTACCTATTGAGATAAATTTATATCCCTTCTCCAATAAGAAGAGCATTTTATGAACCTAAGAATAGTTATTACCGCCATAAATTAAAAATAAAATCACTATTAAAAATTAAATAATTTAAAACAAATGAAAAATATTTGCTTCCCTTATTTATTTATTATAAATAAAACTAAAATTGCTTATTAAGATGATGGGATTAAATATATTCCCTTTCCAAAAATAGAGCATATTATAGTCTTTCAATACCATCTCCTTTTTGTTTTGGTTGCCAAGTGCCAATTAAATGTTGCTTATGCTTGATTCGAGCTGTCAATTTTGTGTGTTGCACATTTGTTGGCTGTTTATGCGATGCGCGGAAAGTCGAAAGAACTCCAGCTGTTTGACATCAGCGTCCGCTGCAATGGGAACAATTCGGTTTTATGCTTTTCCGTGGAAAACCGGGAAAACTTTTCCCACTCCCGGCGAAGAGCATTGACCCAAAGTCGAATTGCAGGGGCGTAACAGAATCAGCCCCCTGCCCGCCCTTAATAATTGTGATGGCGGGGCCCCAACACTTGGCAATCAATTAATCATAATCCAGATAGGAAAACATGTAACAACCGCAAACAAGGAGTCGGGAATGGTAAGCCGATCGATAACACGAAAAATCCGAGCACGAAAATTTAACCCCACGTTTGAGTTGGGAGTGTGAAAAACCATAACATGTGCTTATCACAATGTGCAGCTGAAAACCATGACAAATCTAAGCACCCCCACTCCGAGCCACCCAAAAACCATCCAGAGCCACCCGAAACCGTAACCCACCTCATCCAATACGAAACGTGCCCCATTGCGGCACAAACGATAATTACACTTGGCCAAAGCTCGCCCGATGCCATAGATTCGAATTATCCCATTGATCCTTATGGACACGGCTTAAATGCAATGCGAACAGGCATAACTTGGACAGTGATAAATGGCGGCTGACAGTGCAGTGAAAGAAAATCTACGGAAATCTCAAGATCCCAGAGAATGATGCAGTGGTTGCCCGCTTTTTCTTTGTGGCAAATTTATCGCATATGTCGTCGCTCTCACATGATGTGCAAGATTTTTATTCCATAATTTTTAATGGTCTGCTTCCCAGGATTCCGACCAGGAGTCCTCTGCTCCTTGTGGACAGTAATAGAATTTTTGCATTCGCTTGCAAGCGATAAATGTGATAAATGAGTGCCGGCCATGTCTGTATGTTAGTCGGTTTGGGGAGATAAATGCATTATGCAGATGCCCGCTCGAAGGATTTATAGCTATGGTGTTTGTCTTGGTAATAGCTTAAGTCGAGAGCGGATATAAATATTAGGCAAGGCATTAGATTGTCTGAGCATAATGTGGCCGAGTGTTATGAATGCGGTGCGATTCGAGTGGCGAAGTCCTCTGGCCTGACAACTCGATGAGCAAGCAGATTTGTTGCACAATTGCCAACTGGGGTTATAAATTTACTGTCTTGCACTTGATACAGAAAGAAACGGTTGCATAACAGGGAAAAAGAGCATTATCTCAAGATAAAATTATCTAATTTTATATAATTTTCCCACAATACATATATACAATTATTATTATTTATTGCATTTAATCATTTACAATACATTCTATTATTGTATAATAGTATTGTCCTCAGTCAAAGCAAGGATAAACGCTATGGTTGAGTGCCGCCACTATAAGATTCCCGTTACTTAGCTAACCAATTTATTACTTGTAAAGATATAAGTAAAAGTTTTCTCGCTCTTTTCCGCTTTCTCAAATATTCAAACCCCGTTGTTATATATCATTGCATATTTAATACTTAAGATGTTATATAACTTTTAAAGTAATGGTGCGATTCGAAAATTGGTGTGTTGATAGGAATTGACTGAATTGGTATTTTAGTGCTACTTTTGGCATATTCCGCCTAATAACTGGCATATACGAGGCCTCTAAAATGTATGGCGATGGCCTTAGGGTGGGCGTGGAAACAGGGCGGACAGACGGAACGACGGACAGACGTACATGGCTTAATCGATATATTCATATGTATTCTTTATAGGGTCGGAAACGCTTCCTTTTACAGGCGACATATTTTCCAACGAAAACAATATGCCCTTTTACTTTCTTATTAACAGGTATACAGATTTGGAGCAGAATAGTTAAAAAGGCAACAAAATTAAAAAATATTTATTTTTATTGACGAGCTACCTAACAGTATATTATTAATGTCAAGATCCTAAGTCCTTAAATTTTTTTAAAACCAAAATACAGAAATTTTATTCAATTTGAAAAAAATGAAGGGATCATCGGTAACGTAGTTAGTGGGTTTGCGCTCTACCCGCATTTTTAACAAGAATGGCACTAGGCCAAACAGCTAATTTTGTATATTTTTACTTTTACACTTTCACTGCTAATTCTCCCAAGCCATTTAATTCTCTTTAAGTCTTGGTATGCACTCCCTTATATAATTATATAATATAATAAACTGCTCCTCACACTCTCTGCCGTCGACAGTGATAACATTCTTGGAAATAGCTGAAAAGTTACAGGTCAAATTGCGTTTACGTCGAAAAAAACTGAAACAAAAATATATTTTTCTTTATAAAAATAATCAAGAAAAGAAGCCGCAGTTTATATACCCTTGCATTTTGTATTGTTTCTTAATTTTCTGATTTTTTTTTAATATATATGTTAGATTTTAATTTAATTAATACAGTAACTCCATAGTGTTTAAATATTACTAAAGCCCAAAGAACAAAAAAAAAATTTTAAAAACAACAAAGTTATACTTTCTTAAATTTTTTTCCTATTGTTTCTATGAAAGCATAACATTGCTTATTCGCACGATTCGGCTCGATTCGGACGGACAGACGGACATGGCTAGATCGACTCTCTTGGTGATGCTGATCAAGAATATATATACATTATAGGGTCGGAAATTATAATACCCTCTGTAAGGGTATAAAAACACTTCCTGGGCTATATGAGTCACTTCATGAGTTAGATGAGCTCAACCGGATTGACCTTTCCCTCTTGGTCGTATAAGCTAATCTGAGCTGAACAATTTTTAATGACATAATACATAGTAAATGGATGAGTTATGATTCGTATGACTTGAAAAACAAAAAAAAAATCGAATGACTCATGAAAACAAAAGCATTAAAAACATTTGATCTAAATGGTAATGAAAAATATGAAATATTAAAATTGATCAATTTATCCACCTAAAGTAAAGTAAATGGTAATGGCAGCACCTTGGGTGCCTGAATGTTGTAGTCCGCCCATGGAAACCAAGTTGTAGAAGGTGACTCTCGGCGGGATCGTCGGAAAGATATAAAGAAAAACAGGCATTCTAACTATATTAAACTCTGGAAATGGATACGACTTAACGCAAAACCATCAAATTATCCAACAAAAAAAGTGATATATGTATATACATAATATTGCAATACTATATTAGAAGCATTTAAAATTAGGAAAAATGGAAAATTTTTACGGTCTCCGACAAGAATATGAGCTCATTTCGAACTCACTAATTAACAAGAAAGGAAAGCTAACTTCGAGCGAAGCCGAAGTTGATATACCCTTGCAGAATACTCTGTAAATTATATTCTCCAAAATTATTCATATGATGCATTTTTAATACTCATAAAAAATCACAACTTTCTTACTTTAAAAAAACCAAAGTTATGGCATTTCCAATCGTTCAGTTATATGGCAGCTATAGGATATAGTCGGCCGATCCTTATGAAATTTGGTAGGTCGGATTGATTGGCCAAATATAAAACCCATAGGAAGTCCCAGCTTCCTTACTTTACAAACACCAAAGTTATGGCATTTCCGATCAATCAGTTATATGGCAGCTATAGGATATAGTCGGCCGATCCCGTCCGTTCCGACTTATATACTGCGTGCAAAGGAAAGAAGGGTGTGTGCAAAGTTTCAGTTCGATAGCTTTAAAACTGAGAGACTAGTTTGCGTAGAAACAGACAGACGGACAGACAGACGGACAGACAGACGGACAGACAGACGGACAGACGGACAGACGGACATGGCTATATCAACTCAGGATCAAGAATATATATACTTTATAGGGTCGGAGATGTCTCCTTCACTGCGTTGCACACTTCTGACCAAAATTATAATACCCTCTGCAAGGGTATAAAAATACCAAATTTGATAACACAGGTCAACAAATATTTTAAGCAGACCTAACAGAATTTTTTTAAGAAAAATTAGTCGTTCTAAAAATCGTAATTTAAAACTTTAATTTAAGTTTTATAAAATCCGCAAAAGAAAAATTCGAAATTGTGCAATTTCCTGCTTTCAATGTTCGCCTGATAACTTGACGGAAAGACACATACAAAGACACAAAAAATAGCCACCATTTTTCAGAGACGAAAATTGGAATTGGACGAAAATTAAGTTTAAACATATTTGATTGGATTGAGATTTATAAAATGCGCGAGTCACTTGCCAAAGTTTTCTTCGATTCTTGTTTTTGAATATTTTTTACTTTTGTTTAAAATTATATGTCGATAGTCGTTTTATGTTAATAACTGTTCAAACTTTTTTAAATATTTTGAAAATCCCCAACCATATTTTTTTTGGTAAGAAACTTTGATAAGATTAGAAACTTTGTCGTATTGTGTCTTTTTCCCCCAGCTTATATAGGAACCCGTAATCTAAACTTTTTGAACTCAAGGCTAAAGAGATTTTATTGAAAAAATAGTTTTAAAAAAAACCCAGCCTTCTTATCGCTGTTTGTTGTCCTATAAAATACATCCCCCCAGAGACATTTATTCAGTCTACGAAACGAATTCTATAAAGCATGAAGGTCTTTATACTAGGAGTTGCGGCATTAGCCTTTCTGTTCCTTTGTAGGGAAGGATCCGCCCGTTTGCTGGAACCCGATTGCGGAACAACAAGGACTTCGAACAGGGTTAAACGGGTGGTTGGAGGACACGATGCTGAGATGTTCGCCAATCCTTGGATGGTACTGTTGTTAAAAGACCTTAACTTCACCTGTGGTGGTACACTCATTACCTCCCGTAAGTATTTAAAAAATATCTTACCTTTTTGTAAGGTTTTTTTTTTCAATGAGCTTTAAATCTTTTCAGTATAACTTAATTATGAACTTTAATAATATATTGCAGGTTTTGTTCTGACAGCAGCGAATTGCATCCATTTACAAATTAAGTATGTGCATGACTTTTTTTTGTAATTGAAATTATATTCTTGTTTTTTTCAGTAAGGTGCGCCTAGGCGAATACGACAGGTCAACCAACCCAGATTGTTCATCGATGGTTTGTAAGGGAAGCAGCTTTGAGATTGATATCGAACGGTTAATCCCCCACCCATCGTATGCCAAGCCATGGAGCGTTCCGAATGACATAGGTCTGGTCCAAATGGCTCAAAATGTAATTTTTTCAGGTAATGAAGGAATCTAATAACTAACAAATACTTTCTAAACTAAAATATTTTCTTTAGACCATATCAGGCCGATCTGTCTGCTCGTCGATCAGTTCGTAGTAAGAACTTTTACATCATTTGATGTAACAGGTTGGGGTAAAACTAATACTAGTGAAACCAGCCTAAAACTTCAGACAGCAACTTTAACCCATTTTAATCGTTCGAAATGCCAGTCAATGTTTGAAAAGCCAATTAATGAATACCAAATTTGTGCCGGCAGTGACACCAGCGACACATGCAAAGGGGATGCAGGGGGTCCGTTGAGTGCACAACTGGTCTATGGAGAAATACAGCGGGTCTTCCAATTCGGTATTACCAGCTTTGGACTTACATCTTGCCTTGGAGTCGGTATCTATACAAATGTCACGCACTATATAAACTGGATAGAAAACTCTATTAAAGAAAATCTTTATCCGTTTGTAACTTATTAATAAAATGTACTTGTAGTTTTCTGATATTAAGGAAATTATAAAAATAATTTGCGTAAGCTTTTTTCAAATAGCGTATATAGTTTGTGATTGACATCAGCGTGGCCATCTTATTGCAGTCTTTCCGTGTTTTATTGTTCATAAATAATAATATACGTTTTTTACTAGAACTTAGCGTTAACAGAGTTTGTACCTATTTTTAGGAGATTGTGATTGATTTTAAATGCAATAAAATAGAAATATGAAAACTGTGTGGCAAGGTACAAGGGATTTGAATTAAACGCAAATAGAATTCCGAGAAGATTAGATTCTATGTTGATGTCTGGTTAGACGAAATTTCTGTGAGACCCCTAAACATGTCGAAAACACAAATGCAGTTTGCGTTATTTGCTCTATGCACTCTAAACGATGCGGAGTTGATGGAACTTTTTGCAATTATTTCTTGTTCATATATTTTTTGAGGGCCTTTTACACGGTCTGACTTTCCCAGATAAGTTTTTGTATTTAATAGATTATTTTAAAAAGCATTTTTATACCCTTGCAGAGGGTATTATAATTTCAGTCAAAAGCTTGCAACGCAGTGAAGGAGACATTTCCAACCCTATAAAGTATAAATATTACTCTATGTAGCTATGTCCGTCTGTTCGTCCGTCCGTTTCTATGCAAACGAGTCCCTCAGTTTTAAAGCTATTTGCTTGAAATTTTTCCAAAAGTTCTCTTTCTATGGCAGTTGTATATAAGTCGAAGCGAGCCTGATCGGGCGACTATATCATATATCTCCTATAAGAACAATCGGAAAACAAGTTTAAAAAAAGTATAACTTGGTTGTTTTTTATTTTTTTCTTGTTCTTTAGGATTGAGAATATTTAAATAATATAATATTACGCTTTTATTTAAATTAATATTTATCAAAATACGCCTTTGAGATATAGTAATTATTTATTATTTATTTTATATAGTTCTGTCAAAATCGGAGAACAATATCATATACCTGCCATAGAAACGATGGCAAATTGCAGCGCAAAATCGACATAGCTTCATTGTTTTTAGTAATATAGGCATAGAAATCGAAATTTAGTCGGTTTGTAATAACTGCAAGGGTATATTAACTTCGGCTTGCCAAAGTTTGCTTTCTTTCTTGTTTACTTATTTTTTGCATAGGTATATTCAATTTTCAATTGACCTCATTGCACCTTCGTAATAAATAATATAGTTTATCATTGCAGTAATTTCCATATACAAAATAAAACAATTAAATGCTGTTTCGAAGACATACATTTAATTGGCGTAAACCCTTTTTAGAAGATATCGAGTTAACTCAGATATCAATTAGATAACACGGGTTAGTTTATCTAAGTTTTAGATTACAATTGTCATTATATATGTAATGCCCTTATTCTTGACTTTAGTTTTTAACAATTAAATAACACGTTATTGTCATTACAAACTTACAAACATTACAATCTTAATTAAAAACAAGAAAGGAAAGCTAACTTCGGGCGGAACCGAAGTTGAAATACCCTTGCAGAATATTCTGCAAATTATATTCTCCAAAATTATTCATATGATGAATTCTTAATAACAAACACTAAAGTTATGGCATTTCCGATCAATCAGTTATATGGCAGCTATAAGATATAGTCGGCCGATCCTTTTGAAATTTGGTAGGTCGGATTAATTGGCCAAATATAAAACCCATAGAAAATCCCAACTTCCTAACTTAACAAACAGCAGAGTTATGGCATTTCCGATCAATCAGTTATATGGCAGCTATAGGATATAGTCGGCCGATTCTTATGAAATTTAGTACGTCGGATTGATTGGGCAAAAATAAAACCCATAGAAAATCCCAACTTCCTAACTTAACAAACACTAAAGTTATGGCATTTCCGATCAATCAGTTATATGGCAGCTATAAGATATAGTCGGCCGATCCTTATGAAATTTGGTAGGTCGGTTTAATTGGCCAAATATAATACCCATAGAGAGTCCCAACTTCCTAACTTAACAAACAGCAGAGTTATGGCATTTCCGATCAATCAGTTATATGGCAGCTATAGGATATAGTCGACCGATCCCGGCCGTTCCGACTTATATACTGCGTGCAAAGGAAAGAAGGGTGTGTGCAAAGTTTCAATTCGATATCTTTAAAACTGACAGACTAGTTCGCGTAGAAACAGACAGACGGACAGACAGACGGACAGACAGACGGACAGACAGACGGACAGACGGACATGGCTATATCAACTCAGGAGGTGATCCTGATCACGAATATATATACTTTATAGGGTCGGAGATGTCTCCTTCACTGCGTTGCACACTTTTGACCAAAATTATAATACCCTCTGCAAGGGTATAACAAGAAAGGAAAGCTAACTTCGGGCGGAGCCGAAGTTGATATACCCTTGCAGAATACTCTGATAATTATATTCTCCAAAATTATTCATATGATGCATTCTTAATACTCATCAAAAATCCCAACTTCCTAACTTTAAAAACACCAAAGTTATGGCATTTCCAATCGTTCAGTTATATGGCAGCTATAGGATATAGTCGGCCGATCCTTATGAAATTTAATAGGTAGGATTGATTGGCTAAAAATAAAACCCATAGAAAATCCCAACTTCCTAACTTAACAAACACCAAAGTTATGGCATTTCCGATCGTTCAGTTATATGGCAGCTATAAGATAAAGTCGGCCGATTCTCATGAAATTCGGTAGGTCAGATTGATTGGCCAAAAATAAAACCTATAGAAAATCTCAACTTCCTAACTTTACAAACACCAAAGTTATGGCATTTCCGATCGTTCAGTTATATGACAGCTATAAGATATAGTCGGCCGATTCTCATGAAATTCGGTAGGTCAGATTGATTGGCCAAAAATAAAACCTATAGAAAATCTCAACTTCCTAACTTTACAAACACCAAAGTTATGGCATTTCCGATCGTTCAGTTATATGACAGCTATAGGATATAGTCGTCCGATCCCGGCCGTTCCGACTTATATACTGCGTGCAAAGGAAAGAAGGGTGTGTGCAAAGTTTCAGTTCGATATCTTTAAAACTGAGAGACTAGTTCGCGTAGAAACAGACAGACGGACAGACAGACGGACAGACAGACGGACAGACAGACGGACAGACGGACAGACGGACAGACGGACATGGCTATATCAACTCAGGAGGTGATCCTGATCAAGAATATATATACTTTATAGGGTCGGAGATGTCTACTTCACTGCGTTGCACACTTTTGACCAAAATTATAATACCCTCTGCAAGGGTATAACAAGAAAGGAAAGCTAACTTCGGGCGGAGCCGAAGTTGATATACCCTTGCAGAATATTATGTACATTATATTCTCCAAAATTATTCATATGAATAGCATTTCCGATCAATCAGTTATATGGCAGCTATAGGATATAGTCGGCCGATCCTTATGAAATTTGGTAGGTCGGATTGATTGGCTAAAAATAAAACCCATAGAAAATTCCAACTTCCTGACTTCACAAACACCAAAGTTATGGCATTTCCGATCAATCAGTTATATGGCAGCTATATAGTCGGCCGATCCCGGCCGTTCCGACATATATACTGCGTGCAAAGGAAAGAAGGGTGTGTGCAAAGCTTGAACTCGATAGCTTTAAAACTGAGAGACTAGTTTGCGTAGAAACAGACAGACGGACAGACGGACATGGCTATATCAACTCAGGAGGTGATCCTGATCAAGAATATATATACTTTATAGGGTCGGAGATGTCTCCTTCACTGCGTTGCACACTTTTGACCAAAATTATAATACCCTCTGCAAGGGTATAACAAGGAGAAACGCTAATGTCGGGTTCGTCGACTACCTGCTAAATACTTTCCAACAAATACAATATACCTTTTTACTTTAAGAATAACGAGTATAAAAAAAGCAAACGTATTCAACCCTATTAAAGCGAATTCAATTATCCGCAATAAATATAGGAAAAGTATTTAGCCCACACAACAGCTTAAAATCCCATTACAAAGTTAAGGTAATTTCAATCCAACTCCGTTAAATCTTTCTTTGATCATAATTTCGATCGTTTAGAAAAGTATTAAAACCTGTAACCCAATCTGAAAACTGTCATAAACCGGCTACCAAATGCCAAAGATTGTGGACCCCCAATCGTTGCCCATTTCAACTGAACATTTTTACATTCACCGCAGCAACTTCTTCGCAGGTCCGACCACCTGAACGATCGCGATTTTAATACTGGTTAACCAACAAACTGCTCGACCGATTTATGGCAAATAAACATTTTATTTTCCATTTCCTGCAATTTATTTGCCAACGCAGTGCAATTGCAGACTGCAGTTTGCCCCGCTTATCAATGAAAAGCGGACAATAAAATCACCGAGGAGTTGTCATAAATGTTTTGTCCGTATTTATTTAAAAGGCATCGTGTGTCCTATTATATTTATTTGCATATTAAAACGCAAACAAATGACAACGGCAGCGGCCAACGTTGCAAAACCACCGACAACAAACATTGCCGCTGAATTTTCGCCGACAACATCGAAACCCATTGCAGCACTCATATGTGGGAATCATATAGAAAAATGTTTATAATGCCCGGCGCGTGCACGGAATTTTAAATCGAAATATAAACACGCTGTGAGAATGATATAGTGGAGGCGAGATGCGCGGTGGGGGGAAGTTGGGTATACGGCACACTTAAAAGATTAACCACGAGCACGAAACTCCGCTTTGTTCCAGGTTCCAGGTTCCCATTCCGTACTATACATACGTTAAAATCGGAATCTCCTCTTTTGTTGCCTCGGCTTTATTTTTGTTAAATATTTAACATTGCTTAAGCCGCTGAAAACAATAACAAAGGGCACTCGCCCACGTCTTCTTATGTACAATGGCGAACGCGCTTCGTTTCGTTTTTTATTTATTTAATATTTAAATACCCTAGGTATGCTTTAATGTCTTTACGAAAAGATGCATTTCAGAATGCGATTTCATATCGAGTTTGCACAGGAAAATATATCAATTTGTTTTGGCTTTATTGTAGTAAA